CCCACAACGATATGAGTTGAGCTGACGTTTCCATTGAATTTCACATAACCTTGCTTTCCCAAAAGTTGTTATCCAAGGTGGACTGCAGTTTCGACCTCGCATCGGTCTTATCAACACCCTCAGCGGGAGTCGAACAGCGACAGTGCAGTATGATATGGCAAAAAAAGGCATAGCTTTCCTTGAAAATTCGCATTTTCCCTGAGACCCAAAAGGCGCTCGTGGCAGTGTAGCCGAGTGGTTAGCGTGTCAAGCTCCCATCCTGCACTGTTGCGATTCGACTCCCGCTGAGGGTATTGATAAGACCGATGCGAGGTCGAAACTGCAGTTCACCCTGGATGAAAACAACTTTGGGGAAAACACGGCTGTGTAAAATTCAATGAAAACGTCAGCTCAACTCATATCATTGTGGGAAAATTCTTCTTCCACCAGTCCTTCATCACCTTAAACGAAACTGGGTGAATACATCTCATATTACTGATTTACTGGTAGTTACGAAAACCATACTTAATTCGAAAAATATAAAAATCTAGTTTCAAATTTCGTTCAAAAGGATAGTGAGTCTCAAAAATGGGAGTAAACGATCTGTGTAAAGCATAGCTATTTTGTTTGCCTTTTAACCAACTTCTTTGCCTTTGAATACAATTTAAATTTCATTTACGGATAATTAACATAAAACGAGTTACTATAAAGACCTTTTCTGCTATACTGGGCAGAAGGTCCTTGAGATGGATGGAAAGGCAGCGTAACAAGTAGCGAATTGTGCGGCAAATGTGCTCCATAGGCCGCATACGTTGAGCATAGTGTCCCATTAGACAGGCCAGAACAGGCCAAAGGCTTTCATGAGCGAATTGTTGACAAGCAGCCAGACAAGCTTGTGCCACCGCGTCATGCAACGCTCCGATATCGTTACAACTGCCCCCATGATTCACATCAGAGCCGCCGCCGCTGCCGCTACGACTCGATACGCCAGAGAGTCGACGAATCAGGTTTCCTAGGCTATGATAAATAGCGCCTAGGTAGTCGAGCCATACGCATGGATCGGTTAGGGAATTGGTCGTCTCGATAGGCACATTCTGCTCCATCAGCTAAGGGAAAAGAATGTACAAAATAGCATACAGATAATTATGTAATTCATAATAGATACAATCGGCGGCTTGAAATTCAACGCTGATATGGTGAATACAAAATAATGAATGGTAATAAATCAAATGTCACTCTCGTTGAAGATCAGCTGTAATTTCGTCGCGTGTTAAGAAACTCCTATAGAACCCTTATGTAACCTTCATATTTGGTAGTAAACCAGTTAAACCTAATAGGCTAACAGAGAACAATTTAAGACCACTGTTGCTTGAGTAAAAAAATAAACAAATAAATGGAGTAAAGATTGCCAGAAACCCTATGTACCTTTTTTAAACATTCAAGACTGACTGAAGAAAGTTGGGCCAGTCGAAAAGGAAAGGCTTGTCGTGCCGGAGTAGGATCTTCCTCGGGACCATGATGGTGACTGCTTGAACCTGGACCAATGGAATGTAGTAAACCACGAGCAAGTCCATCGAAGAAATCAACAGCTTCGTTAGCAGGCGCCCAAGCCATTCGAGGAAGACTACAGACGACTCGCTGGATCAACTCATCCCAGTGATCGTCTAGCAGGCTAGAGGAGCCCGCAGGCATCGTGCCGTTGAAGTTGATCAATGCCGTCGC